CATCTGCATCAGGCTGGACCCCTGCCTTAGCCCGGCTCAGCACCGCTGCTGTACTCGGTGTGCCGCGGGGGAGTGTGTGGGCTGCTGTCTGTGCTGCGCTTTCATGTAGATTGAAGACCTACGGGGAGCTGCACCCTGCCCTCCACGAGGGGTGCGGGCTGCGCCCTGCCCTGTTGTTTGTGTGGCTGTTTATCAGTTTCAGGTTTTTCTGGGTCATTAGGCCAGCTTTTTTTTCTTAGTTCCCTATTTCCTTTTTGTTTTATTTATTAAGGTTTTTTTGTCATGAAAAATACAGACAAGTAGAGTGGTGCAGCTGTCACCTACGTGGAACAGTTCTTGTCTCTCACCACATCGGCCTCACCTTGGCTGTGTTTCTGTGAGTGATTAAAAGATGCTGACACATCCTGACAACTTCTGATACTTCAGCATATGTATGCTCAAAACAGTGTGATAGACACAGCGACAAAACTCTTGTCTTAGTGAACAAAATTATTTTTTAACAGTATCTAAAATCAGACTGTGTTCTAATTGTTGCAAAAAGATTTTTGATGTTATAAAAACTTTGGCAATTTGAACACACTTAGCTGCCACTCAGCGCAGAGGTTTGCCCAGACTGCTGGTAGACCAGGGTGGCTGCGATGGCATGGCATCGAGGGCTGTCAGGTGACTGGTCTTTGAGTGTGTGGTCCCCTTGCCTGACCACCAGGGCTCCACAAGCCTGCGGGACCCGGCTCAAGATGGGAGAAGCTGCTCGGGGTGTGCTGAGTGCTGCTGTGGGCCTGGACTCAGGAGGGCTCTGGTCCTCAGCTCAGCGCTTGCTTTGTCACCTGGGTGGTCCAGGCAGCGCTTCATGTGAAGGTGTCACCTGTGTGCCAGTTCAGTGTGACTTTAGATTTTGATGAGTCAGTCCATGAGCTGCCCGCCTGCCCTCTGTGGCTAGGGGCTAGCTGTACAGTGCTGAGGATGCATCTCAGGCAGTGCCACGCTGTGTCCCCAGCCCTTTCCACCACTGCTTTGAGGCAAGGTCTCATGAAGCTGCCCAGGCTGGCCTCAGCCTCCCGAGGGCTAGGTGCCAGGTGCGCGCCCCCACCTGGCTCGGATTGTGCCGTTCTTGGTGAGCAGTCTGTGTGTTCCTTCTGTGTGTGTGGGCTCGTTTAGTACAGCTCACTTAAGATGACCACTAGCGCTTCAAAATGATACAGTTGTGCAAAATAACTGTCCCAGAAGGTGATGTGCAGGGGAAGAATACTTGGGAACACGCACCTGGCGCTGGGCAGAATCGCAGTGCTGCCTGAAGCAAGTGCAGCCAGTGAGCCCGAGCTTCGTCTGACTACAGAGCTGCGCGTGTGCCTCTGCGACTGCGGTGCTGGGTTTGTGCAGTACAACACAGAGTCGACACTTTAAAATCAAACATGATAATTTAAAGATGTTTTATTCTAAAGTTTTATTCTGAAACAGGGTGCGGTGGTGCACACCTGTAATCCCAGTGCTAGAGAGGGTGAGATAGGGTCACTACGAGTCCGAGCTGCATAATGAGACCCTGAACCAAATAAATAAAAATTAAAAAAATTGTAAAGTAGTTTTATTCTAAAATCGATGATCTATAATTTCTAAGCTTGTGTTTATTTTTTGGTGTTCTCTATAAAATATCAGAAGTAGTTATCTGTTGTTGTTTAACTTAGTGTCATTTTTATTTTATTTTATTTGTATTTTTTTAGGGAAGGGTCTACAGGGTGTTCAGGGTTTCACTACTAGATTGGACTTGTAGTGATCCACCTGTTTACAGCCTCCCAAGAGCTGGGATTATAGGTGTGCACCACCACTCCCAGTAAATATTTTATTTTATTTGTATTTTTTTAGGGAAGGGAGTCTGCCTTTTTTATAGCTGAAAACTTTCCTTGCAAAACTGTATGTTGTCTGCTTTATATAGTTCTAATCATAAATAAAGCAGTGACTTGGCAGTTATTGGCGGGTTGATTCTGATGTAAATGACGATGTGATGTCTTTCTTTAAATAGTTTTAAGAAGTAAGAGCGGGTTTCTGGAACAGGCATGTTTTCCAGGTTAGTTTTCCCCCTGGGGAGTGAGTGCTGGGGCCTTTGGTGGTGGCTGCCTTTCTGGCTTGTGGTCCTGTGCCTCACTCTGGGCAGGTGCTGTGTGGCCAGGTGAGGACTGACATGCATCCATCTGTCCCGGCAGAAGATGCGTACGGAAGGCTGGAGGCGGGAGTGCTTGGGTGAGCAGAGGTAGGCTGGCTAGGCCTGGTGAGACAGCAGGAGAAACCTAGAGCCCCGCCCAAGTCGGAAGGTGGAGATGCACTGTGCCCTGACCCTCGGGGTTGAGACCCCAGTGAAAGGTGCCCAGATCTCTGCACTTGCTTCCTTCTGGTCCTGACCTCATGGTTTAATTGCCTTCGTGAGTGCCATGTGACCCCACATCCGGCCTAGGTGTCCCCACGCTGCAGGTTCTGAAGGGGGGCCCTGGGCTTTGGGACTCGGTCTGCTTCCTGTCTCTGCTGGTCTCTTGCTCCTGTCCTCAGCACCCTGTCCCTGGTAGGAGGAACCTCAGCTTCTGTTGCCTGAAGCGCCGTCTGAAGCCACCTGCTGGCTGCTGATGGTTTTCGCGTTGTGCCTGGGCAGGTTCTCCTGCACCCTACCCTGCCTTATCCCCACTGCCACCTCCATGCCGTTCCCCAGTTGTGACCTCTGGAGGCTGCCCCGCAAGCCTTGGCTTCCCGGCCACACTCTGGAAGCCCCCAGCTGTGGTGCACCCTGGAAGTCCTCCATAAGGACACAGACCCACAGTAGCCAAGGTCTGCATTCCCTGTGCCTGGGGGCTCTTCCCTGTGTGGTGGTAGGGTGCGCATGAGTGTACCTCCTTGCCCCCTGCGGTGCCCTGGCTCTCACGCAGCGTGTGTCATATTGTCCTTCCTCAAGGGCATCCTGTATTTTCAGAGTGGTGCCCAGATTGTCCAACCTTCTGCTTGTGCTGCCCCTGTCCTGCCTGTGACTGTGTGTGCACACTTGCTGGGGTGGTGGCTGGAGATAAAGGACCTCGGGCGGAAGGGCAGAGGCAGTGGGCTGGGTCTTGTGTGTTGTGAGCATTGCGAGGCTCCTCTCAATCTTGTGCGGGGCCTGGACATTTGCCCTGCCAGAGACTCGGTGGCATCCAGCCATTCCCTGTCCTCCCAGGAGGTTTTCCTGTGGCTTCCTGGCTTCACTGGCTTGTCTCATTATGTGCTGCATTTGCCCCTCTGAGAGGCTTTCTTTCTGTCCCTCCTGTGGGATCACTTTTTGGTCCTTGTATCAGTCCAGGAAGTTATATTTGTAATCCCACAGAGGAGATACTGGAATCCTGTCAAGTTAACTCCAGTCTACCACTTGTGGCGCAACCCAGGGTGAGAAGGAAGACACTAAGGTGTATTTATAGTTGCGGGGAGCCCAGGGGCCCTAAGTCCAGCCATGGTGATGGCTATCTGGAACAGAGGCCTCTGCCCAGGTTTTTATTCAGTCATGAAGGAGGAGTGGCTTGCGGATGAATGACTGAGACTTGCAGGAAGTAGGTGAGTGCTGTGAGCAGGGGTAGGTGGGAGGCCTGCATTTGCTTCTGCGATATGCAGAGAGAAGGATGTGCAGAAAAAGTAATTGGTATTATACTGTTGAGATAGTATTTAATGTTTTGGGGTCTGGTGTTTCAGCTCTGATGTGTAGCCTTTCAAGCCCCGGGAAGCCATAGTCTCTATCTCAAGGCTCAATCCCAGCTCAAGGCTCGATCTGCAGCGTGGCGCACTGGCTCTTTGTCCTGTCTCAGCCTGGCTCATGTTAAAAAGCTGCAGGTGGAGGTTACCAGGGAAACACTGGTGCAACCTTCAAAGCCTGCCCCCAGCACTCGGCTAGACTGATATGGACTGCTTAAAGCCAGTTGAAGGGATAAGGCAAAGTCCTGGCCAGCTCTGTGCATATCAGTACATGGAAATGGGGTCAGGCTCAGCCACAACGGAGGCAACTGTTCTTCTTTCAAGGAAAGTTGCCCCGGGGGGTCCTCCTCATCTGCTACCAATTTTTATGTGCTGTTTTGTGATTTATAGTTGAAAAGAATAGTGTATGGTGTCAGTGGGATGCCCGGAAAAGAGGCTCTGTGGAAACACCCTTTTCTTTCTCATCTAAATTCATAGATGGTGGCTGGGCTTAGTGGTGCACACCTGTACCCAGCACTCTAGAAACTGAGGCAGGAGGATCACCATGAGTTGAAGGCCAGCCTGAGCTACATAGTGAGACCCTTTCTCAAAGGAACAAACACAAAAGAAGCCCCAGAGAAAAACAGAATCATGGATGGTTCATTTCCTCTGATTCTGTTCACCTCTTCTCTCTTTTTTATTTTGTTTTTATTTTTATTATACTTTTATTTTGAAGAGTTAAAAACAAGAACAAGAAAAACAAAAGCAAAGACAGAAACAAGGCAACATGTAACAATACATATGTTACAGATTTTCAAAACAAATAGCTGATTAACAGTGAGCGATATGTTATCAGATTAACACACAGTGATGCAAGGTGGGACATACTATTGAATATTGCCACATGCTTTCAAGAAATCAAACTTTTGTTCTTGACTCTCATTTTCTTTTATTACCTTTTACAAAAATACTTTAAAGAGTATAGTAATCGCAATGACATTAGAAATGGTACACATTTAGAAGATCAAGACAGGTATTTCAAGTATTGTTTTGGTATTGCACATTGCTGTCCTTGATGTAGTTGCTTATTTTACAGATATCAACATGGTCAGGATGAGAATTCTACCTATTAACTGATATTTTCAAAAACCTGATGGAAATTGTTAGGACTACTGCCTTGTCCAACTTGTATACATACATATATGATTTTACCCCTGCTTTATTTCCTGACTTCTCCTTTCTCTCTCTTGGTTGTGTAATCCTGAAGTTCTGTTATCTTCTACTATCTTGCGGATGAGAAAGTAATTTTATCTGATTTTTTTTAGGTGACTCTGCCAGTGATGCAGGTAGGTGTGGCCTTGATGTGCTGGTGTGGCTGTGTGTGCAGATGTGAGAATGTGCTCTCCCCGTGCCCTCCTGCTGCACTTGTGTGAGCTACGGCAGTGCGACTCAGTGAGGGTCCGGTCTGTGTCTTAAGCTTTAATCTTGTGTGTGTATTATACATGTGCTTATATTTTAATGCTGAGAACACTGCATTTCACGGTTTCTCACCTAAAGTATATTTCCAGTATTCAAATTCTGATTTATTTTTGTGACTTTCCAAAGTATAGACTTTTTAAAACTTTAAATAGAGTAAATTTATCCTAATTTGGGCTTGTAACTTGCTGAGTTACAAGAGGGAAGAAGCTGTGTTTAGATTATTAGAACAATATGGCAGTAGCCAGTGTTGAACATTTTTAAAACCCAAAAAATAAGAAGAAAAGAAAAAGTATTGGTAAGTCCACTCCTTGTAATGTAAAGAAACATCTTGATAGGACTCCAAAGTCTGTGTAATTGTTAGGTTAGGTGACATTATTAGTTCTAGTAGAACAATGATGCTGTTTTACGCAGACGCTTCTAGCATGACAGTTTTGTCACTTCTCTGGTTACTGATTGGTGCCACTGTCAGGGTGGTAGTGGTGCCGAGCATCTTGGTAGGTGGGCGTTTACACCTGTCCATTTTGTTTCCGAATGTATTTCAAGTTTAATTGTTAAGTTGATGGACCTACCTTGTGCATTTTATTTCTTGAGTAACTGAACTGGTTCGTATTTGAGCAAACCCACATCTCCAACTCTTCATCACATACAGAAAGCAGACATGTTTTATCTTCATTCAAATGATGGATGAAAAACTAGCTCATTCATATTTGCAGTTGTGTGACTGCTGCTTTTTAACTATTTACATTTGAATCAAGTATTGCAATTAATTTTTATATTTAAATCACTAAATCTATTTGATTTTAAATGTTAAAGCATTGTTAGTTGTTTGTGAATTGCTGATTGCATTGTCACCTGTTCAGAAGGAGAAGCTGGACCTGGGCCTGGGCCTCCTGCCACGGAGAAGTCTGAGGTGGCAGAGAACCTGGAAGTCCCCAGTGAGCGTCCATCCAGTGCCAGGTCTGTGTGGCCCACTGGCTGGGCAGAGTGGTCATACCCAGCGTATAGCTGTGAGGCTTCATACTGTGCCCTTCACTGCTTATTCAGTGCTCGTGAAAAATTATGGGGAATTATTTGTACCGAGAAAGTGGAAATGGCTGGGTGTGGTGGGCACGAGCCTGGAACCCCAGCACTATGGGAGGAAGGGGCAGGAGGACTGAAAGTTTGAGCCCAGTCTGGACAACTTAATGACTTAGCCAGACCCTGCAAAATAAATAAATTTAAAAGGACTAGGGATGTAGCTCAGCATGAAGGCCCTTAATTCAATCTCCAGCACTGCTATGGAGTTTTCTGTACCAGTGTTATAACTGTGTAGAGCTTTGCACAGATTCAAGGCAGTGCACCGCCACGCAGAGTTGCCCCAGGTTTGACCATGGACACGTTGTGCTGGTGGGGGTTCCGGGCTCCCTCCGTGCAGGAGGATGCTGTAACCCTCCGACTTGTGTTTTGTGTTCCTCTGTCTGTTCACGTGTCTGGGTTTAGAAGACTCCCTCGGCCGGGCAGTGCAAGGCCAGCGCCTCCCCGGGTCAAGCGACAGGAGAGTGTGGAGGCATCAGTGATAGACAGGTGAGGTGGGGTGTGCAGGTGGGCCTGGGGCCTGCAGGGTAGGGGGCCGTGCACCTGGAGAGCTCGCTGCTGAGGAAAAGAGAAAGTGGTGTGCGTTTCAGATGGTGCAAAGGGGCAGACACGCACATAGCTAGGAAGCTAAGGGCTATAGTGCGTGGGGAAATGCTGGCTTTATTGCCCTGCCCTTAGAAGGCAGCTGTGGGAGAGGGAGGGCAGGGCTGCCCTGTCATTTTGCGTCACCTTGCTGGCTGGCGTGGTGGTGGGGCCCTTAAATTCCTAAATTCCTCGCAGATACCTGCTGCTGTTCAGATGTCGCTCATTTGCTTTCCTGCAGGACAGGAAGTGGTAAAACCGTCTCCAACGTGATTAGAGAGTCACAGATTTCCGATGATGAGGAGGATGAGCATTTTGTGGTCGAAGCTGCTCCTCCGCTTTCCGAAATGTCAGACGTTGAAATGGTTAGTTCTCCAGATGGTGGAGCATCTAGTAATTCTGTTTAAACACGCTGTTAGAATTCCAGCCTGCAGGGGCGTGTAGACAGCGCTCCTGCTTGTACAGCTAGCTTCTTCCCTTCTTGAATCCTGTGGTTCCTGTGGTAACACACGGAAGTGTGATTCATGAAGATTCAGCCTGCCTGAGCTTTCTTTTCTCCTCCTGTTCCTCCTCAGGTGCCAGCAGTAGAGCTTGAGGGTGATGAGAAGCATGGTGAGTCCTGCTGCCAACACTCGTGTGCGTGTGTGTGTGTGTATACATGTGTACAGGCACATGTGCGCCTCCTGCATGGCACTCTGGAAGTGTGTGGTACCAGGGGCCGTGGTGCTGGTCCCTGGTGGGGGGCAAGGGGTGCGGCTGGGGCCGGGGTGGTCCAGGGGCGGGCGCTGCTGTGCGTGTGCATTTGTGAGCACTTCCTTTGTCTCTGTCTTGCCCTGTATTCTTGGATGTTAGTTTTTTTTTTTTTTTTTTTGGTGTAACTGGGGATTGAACTCAGGCCCTTGCGCTCGCCAGAGAGGCACTTATTCCACTGAGCCATCTCCCCAGCTTGCCCTGTATTCTTTACTAGACAGCCTGTGCTGGCATGTATTCCACTGTAATACGAAGGATAATTTTTGTCCCTCCTCCCATATGTGTGGTCCTCGCTGTATGGATATGCCAGAACTGTCCAGCTGGCTCTGCTGATTTAGGTTTGGAGATTATGCGCACACCTCCAGGGCCTTGTGCGTGCCGGGCCAGCACTCTGCCACTGGGATCCACAAGACAGCAGCTTTGGGCGGGAAGATGGCTCAGTGGAATAAGCGCTGCCTTGGCAAGCGCAAGGGGCTGAGTTCAATCCCTGCTTCCACCAAAAACAAAACAGTAGTTTTAAGAGCATGATTTTTCATCTGATACTTACCCCGTGAGTACTTGTAAAAGCAAGTCAGTGTTCCTGCCCCGCTTTGAAAGTGGTACTAGCACTTAGAAACAATTCAGAATTCTTGCACCTGTAATAGTCATATTTTTGAGTTTCATCTACATTTCCTCTTAGTTTTTAGAAATAGAAAGTTTCCTTTGTTTCTGAAGCTGTCCACCTTTCACACAACTCATTTCCCTGGAATATTCTGAAATTTTATAGTTTCTGCTCTACTGTGGTACCCGTCCATTATGCCTGTCTTTATCAGAGATTAGGAAACCATTTCACCCTCGAAAAGAGGATGAGGCTAGCGTGCGCCCACCCATTCAGTTTGTGTGTGCTGTGCATGGGCTTTAACATAAAACCATTTATTTTCAACAGGTGGACTTGTGAAAAAAATTTTGGAGACGAAGAAAGATTATGAGAAGTTGCAGCAGGTGCCCCGACCTGGAGAGAAGGTAAGGAATGATTTCTGCGCACACAGTCGTCTTGGCAGTCATCTCCCACATTTCCTTTTTTTGGGGAGAGGTTTATTTTCTGTTTTCTGGTGTCGGGGACTGAACTTAGGCAAGCAGTCTGCTGCTGAGCCAAATCCCAGGCCCCTGCATTTCGTTTTAAATTGCAAGTGTCCTTCCAATGTTGTCACTGCCAGTAGTGCTGCCTCACGTCAAGGTGCCTCAGGCAGAAGGTTAGGAACCGCTTTCCTCCTGGACGGACGCCGCTGACAGACGTTGCCTGGCTGGCCTGAGCGCAGGAGCCCAAGGCCTCTTCCCCACGTCTGTCCCTTTAGGCTGCACCTTGGCACCAGCCCCTGCGTGCCCAGTGGGGACGGGGCTGCTGGCTGGGCTGACGGGAGAACAGCTGGTGTCAGCAAGCCCGGCATTAGGTCTGTGTTCTGGTTGTCCCTGCTCCTAGGTCGTCCTTACTGTGTGTGATCTGGCTTGTTGGGTAGGACTCGTGGCCTCTTGGGGCTAGGGCCATGCGGGGAGCACCTGCTAGCCCAGTGGTTCCCCTCAAGCAGCTGTGGTCAGGGTTCTCTTCCAGTTGCTGAAAACAGTAAGAATAAATTCTTTTGTGGTTGTTGTTAATAGAAAAAAGTTTCTTAGTAGCTTTTTTAACCAACATTTAACAAAGAATTTTATAAGTGGGCTGTGTGCGCACATGTGTTTTCCCCAGCTGCTTCAGTGTCCTGGCCTGTCGTTCACAGGTGGCTCGAGCTCGCCTGCACGGGGGGCCTGTACATGCTGTGGGCTGGGGGTGTCCGTGGGCAGCTGCTGCCCAGTTTAGGAGGAGGAGAGCCTCTCTTTGGTCTGTTGTCTGTTCCTGTGGCGTTTAGCATGGCGCAGCCCTTCTGTGTAATGGGTGGTGGTCACAGTGGCCCTGGGATAGTCCAGACCCATGTGCAGCTCTGGAGCTCAGCCCTGGAGCTCATGCTGATGGCGTGGCTACCTGTGTGGTGTCGTTGGGCTGGCTTCCGTGGCTTATGTTTGTTATGGGTACAGCGAGCCCCCATGAGGCTCCACGTGGGGGCCTGAGCTTGGCCCAGCACGCACTGGAACGCATGTCTGAGTCTCCTTTGGAGAACAGGTCTCTGTTGGCGAGATGAAAGGAGATGGTCTTGCTTGGGGAGCTCTTACTGCTGCCGCCAAGTTCAGGCAGTGTGTGCACCAGGTCACAGGAAAATTCAGCCTGTCACTGGGGCTCTCTTTAGGATATTGAGGAGCATCAGATTTTACTTGCCTGTTCTGAGACATTTCAGTTAGCTTTTCTTTAAATAAGAACTAAGAATATACGGGTGCGGTTGAGGTCCCCCGCGTCTCCGCCCCAGCCCACTCTCCTGGTGTCCCCGCGGCACCCTGGGCTTGTGCTGCCTCACACCATGCACGCACACCATTCTTGGTGTGACCTGAGGCCGGAAGCTGTGCTGGTCACTGGCTTGAGGCGCAGGTGACCAAGGCTCACTAGGTTCTCATCTGTGGCCGGCTGGGTCTCTGGAGCCAGCACCACTGTGGGGTGGCCAGGAGCCCTGCTGGGTGTGGGGACCGACAGGACGCGGGCGGCCACAAGCTGTCCCTGCCACAGGTGTGCTGAGTGTGCGTGTCTGGGAGCATCTCTTTCACACTTTCGCACCGTGTTACGAAGATGTTTTACGTGCATTGTTAGGAAATATTCTGTCTGTAATTACAGATTCCTTTTCTTTTCAAATGTTGGATTTGTGGTAAGAATGTGGAGAGACATTCTAGGCTTTGTAGATACTTGTGTTTTCGGTTCGTTAGTTTGTACTCTGTTCCTTTTCATTTCCCTGGGTGTTTACATTTTCTCACAACTTGAGTAAAATAATACCTTATTTATTTTTAGTCTTTGTCTGTTTTTTTTTTTTTTTTTTTTTTTTTTTTTTTTTTT